ACTAATATATTTATCATTAATGCTTCTTTTAAATAATCAAACAGGTATAAGCAAACAAGTGATTTTATTTTTATGCTACTTTTAGTAGAAGTTATATATTATATATATTTATTCAAATATTCAAGTATAATTAGTATAATTGTTTTTTTTAATTAAAAAGTGTAAATAAATTTAAATTGTAATAAAGTTTTGAATTAAAATTAAAAAAAAAAATATAAATTATGATTGCATTTTATAATTTTTTTGCCTGAATTAAATTATAAATCTACTAGTATTAATACGAAATCATTATCCTATATCTATCCGTCTAATATCTGTATGATATCTGTATGATATCTATATGATATATATCATAATATATCGGGTACCCAATAAGTCTATGATATGTGACCGATATTTAACTACCCGATATGTGTAAGATGTATATGTGATATTTACATGATGTGTCACCGTTTTTCTGCATTTCTACTACACATATCAGATACCTGATATGTGTAGCATTGTTAAATATCATACACATATATCACATATATTGTACACATATCAGATACCCGATAGTATTAATTTTGACCAGTGATCGAATAAATGTCACTCCTGTTATACCACGCCTTTGTTATTCTTCCTAACTACGAAACAAAGTTACCAATCACCTTTGGTTATTATAAAAACTAACAGTTACTGTTGAATCATAAAAATAAATTTAATTCTCCAAATAAAAATACACAAATTTGAAATTGTCATTTTGCTAGTTAAATTTAACAATTGGTATCATGGTATCACGTATATTTTTTGTAAAAATTTTACTATCTACGATATTTAGCAAAAAACCCACATTCATAAAGACTATCCTAAAAACTTACCACCCTTTCACTACCCAATAACACTAAGCCTTCTGATTGTTCATTGCCCTTATCTTTTTTGGTCCTCCCTAGCTTTTTCATTTCCACTCTTTTCGTCTTATCTTCTTTCGCAAGACGTTCCTCCTAAAGCTCTGAACAGTTTGGGCTAAACCGGGGAACTGATCCGAAACTGGCCCAAAATTCGGTTCAGTCCGGTTCAGGTATTAGAACCGAAAAACTGGCGGTTCAGTTCGGTTTAATCTGATTTTTATAAAAATGCAAAAAATCAAATAGCCGTCCATCTAGTGATCATACAAAGTTGAGCCATATATCATTGGATTCATCTCGACGAGACGTGTCAAATGGCAGTAAGATCATGTCTCTAGCATCAATAGATCGTAAGTTAATTCACACTAAATGATTTATAAAAAATTGGCATTAGCAGGCTATCTATCGATGCTAGAGACTTGATCTTACCACCATTCGACTCGTCTCATTAAGACGAATCCAATGAGTCCTAATTTATATTTGTACGACCATTGGACGACGAATAAATTCATGTATCGGAATTTTTAATTTTTAACGCTCGAAAATTTTAAAAAATGCGAAACTTGATATTATTCGCCATCCAGTGGTTGTACACGAACAAATTTATATTCATTGGATTCGTCTCACTGAGACGCGTCAAATGGTGCTAAGATCATGTCTCTAACACCGATAGATAACATGCTAATTCCAATTATTTATAAATCATTTAGCGTGGGTTAACGTGTGATCTATCGATGCTAGAGACATGATCTTACCGCCATTCGACGCGTCTTGTCGAGACGAATCCAATGATATATAGCTCGAATTTATACGATCACTAGATAGCCGGCTATTCAATTTTTCGCATTTTTATAAAAATCGGATTAAACTGAACTGAACCGCTGGTTTTTCGGTTCGGTTCTTACGGATTTCAGCTCTAATCCGAACTGTCTATAATCCAGACCAAACTGACCTGTTCAGAGCTTTAGTTGTATCTGCTCAATATTTTCAATAGAAATATCATATGTATCAGTAATGCTTGCTAATTTATTATGTTGGTCCTGTAATTCATTTTCAATCATTTCTATCCAATCTATTACTGTTTTTCTCCATTCGTTAGCAGATGCTAATGGTTGTGTATAAATATTATTTATACTTTCATTATCATATTCATTTGTTTTACTATCAGTATCAGAATCTTCATTATTAGATAGAATGAAAATTTCATCATCATTTTCTAATCTTGCAAATTCTATATTATCTGAAGTTCTTGTTATAGTTATTTGATATTGTTTTGCATGATAATCTAACTCGTAAAGCTGTTGTTGTCTTTGCATACTTGCACGAATCTGGGCTAAACTTAACACTTTTTCCGCCTAAAATACCAAAAAAAACATTGCAAAAAACTTTGTAGTTAAATTATATAAATAAATATGCTAATATGTTGTACCTTTAATCGATTTCTCCGTTTTGAGTGATACCATCCTATTGTTGAAAACAATCGTTCTAATGAAGCTGTTGATAGTTGATACAGTAATTGAAAAAATTCGTTGAGCAACCCTATACAATTCTTTTGAGTAACCTTTTGTAAAATTCCAATAATCTAAAATATTGTTTTTAAATTGCTTAAAAATAGAATCAGTATAAGGATATTTTTTTGATCTATATTCTTCAAGTTCAGCTAGTAAAACTGTTAGTTCCTCCTTAAACCATGTACAATAATAATATAAAACCCATTTTACTAGGTGAGAAAATGATAAATTTAATGCAGGATTAAATTTTGTATCATGATAAAATGAATGTAGCAAAAATGATAATAACAAGAGAGGCTGTTCCCAATCTTTCCATCATCGCTCAATTTTTGAAAGAAGAGTAGTGGCTAATTCTTGATCTTCAAATGTTTTAAGTGTCATAACTACATTACCAAATCCGTGAAGAACTTCGTGC